GAAGTCATACGATGCGCGGCTTGCTGTCCGTCCTTCCCATATTGACCATGGGCATCTCGCAACACCACTTTCTAGAATTAGGGTCCAGCCGAATTAGTTGGCCGTTCCGGATTAACCTGTACAGCGGAAATCGCTGGCAGGCGATATCAAGACAGATCACTTTGGAGATGGCATCCAGCATCCAGTCAAAGTTTACAGTTTGGGGTAAGCTTGAAGGTTCAGGGGACTTGGTAGCTTTTTATAACTGAGCTTCTACCTTACACATGATCCCCTACATGGCCTTATAGAGGTTAGCTACCCCAGTTTATGTAGTTAAGAAGTTTCGAGAGGTCATAACCGTGCGTTGTATAGACGGCTATGGCGTAGTTACAAACGAACAAAACTCTGGGGACGAGCCAAACAGGCAGCACGGGAGCTTTACAGAAGTTCCGACTTGCCGAAGCGCAAGTGTCTCACCCCACGCAAAAAGTACAACATCGCGAAGCGATGCAAACAATGGTTTCGGAAAACAAAACAATGCCACAAAAACGAGTTTTGTGTTTTTTGCAAAAACACTGTTTCACAGGACACAGGGCAGAAATTTCCAATAAACAAAAAGCAAGCCAAATCAAATCCCTTAAAGATTCATCGCGAACTCCGTGCAGCAAGTTTGAACGTAAGAGGTCTCAACAAAAACACAAAACGGGAATTGATTGTTGATATCATGCGGAAAAACAACTACGAAATCATGTTGCTTAGTGAAACGAATGTAAATGCGAGCTGCTATGAACACTGGAAAGGGTACACGTGTTTTTTCAGTTCGGATGTTGATCCAAAGCTGAGAGAAAGGGAAATCAAGGCAAGGGAGGCAACCAAAGGAAAAGGGAAAGGGGCTAACAACACAAATCCACATCGTGCAGCTCCAGATTTTGAAAATGCTGGCGTCGGCATTGTCATTAAGAATACCTTGATCAGCGCTGTGAAGGATATCCAACAAACCAGTGGGCGAATTATGAAAATTACCTTTGAGGCACAAGGGGCTGATATTTCCTTCGTTGCGGTGCATGCGCCGCACAGTTTGCATGAGACTGAGACTAAAGAGTCTTTTTATGACGCTTTGTCAGACGAGATATCGCGCACCAAAGGGATCTACTACATAGGCGGTGATTTCAATGTGCGCATTCACCACGTCAGAGAAGTCGATAAAGAAGTGTGTGGACCTTACATCTTAGGCCGCGGCTTGGAATATTTGAATGTAATGAATGAATCAACCAAAGAAAGTAGATCGTTGTTTTTAGGTTTTGCCAAAATTCACAACCTAAAGGTTATGAACAGTATGTTCTCGAAACCAGCCGAAAAGCTGTTAACATACAGGTGCAAAATATCCAGCGAAGGCTTTGATGAACAAGAAACTGGACCACCTTATGATGCTGTCAAATACGCTCAAATAGATTTTTGGTTAGCAGGCTCAAACTGGAGAAAGACGCTGTTGGATACACAAAGCAGAAAGGACATTTTCTACGAGACCGATCATTTTGTCTTAGAAGCAAAAATTACAGTATGCTCGTTTATATGCAGGCCAAATGATAAAGACATAGTGAGAAGACACCAAAAGCCAGATCCAAACAATTGGCGGAAATACAATGAACACATCCGTAATTCTTTATTTGCACATCCCTTGACATATCAAAACTTAACATCAGCTCTTCGAGAGGCAGCCGAGGGACATCTCGAACAAATACCGCCAGGCACCAAAAAAACATATCTAAGCAGACAGACGTGGAACAAGATAGACCGGCGCAATCAAACTAGACAAATCGGAGGGACAGTTAACGAAATAAAACAGATGAATAAAGATATTGCTAAGGCCGCCAAAATTGACAAGCAGCCTTCGCTTATTGATAAATTTGTTGATAATCCTCATGATAAGAACAAAAAACATATGTGGAAAGCTGTCAAAGATCTCGAGAAAAATTTTGCCCCCAATTTGTAACGATGAAAAATAAGATTGGAATTCACGTACCACTGATCAAGAGGGCGGAAACAATTGCCGAGTATCTGGAAACAGAGCACTGGAAAAATTGAGTCCCAGCATGATGGCCCAAGCCGCGAAAGGATTTTACAAACAAACTCTGCGATTTTGACAATTTTTTCGCTACAAGAGCTCAAATGCGCGTTGAAAACAACAAAGGCTAACAAACAACCGGGACCTGATAGAATTGTCATTGAGCTCTTCAAATGGTTGGATACCCCAAATCAAGACACTTTATTATTTTTGATAAACGAATGGTGGGTTTCCAGAAAGGCGCCAGAAGAGTTGTTTCTTGCTAGAGTAGTCCCCATTTTCAAAAAGGGTGATACGGATGATGCTGCAAACTACAGGCCTATCTCCTTGTTAAACAGCGCCTACAAGATTTACATGACGATGATCAGGTCCCGTATGCACGAAGCAGTCTCCCACCATATCACGAAGACTCAATATGGCTTCAGACCAGGTATGTCTACCTCTCAGGCTATCTACATTATAGGACGTATTCAAGATTTTGCTGAAGGAAAGTCAACCAAATTGAGTTTGGCACTCTTAGATTGGGAAAAAGCTTTCGATTGGATTCAACATGAAAAGCTGATTATATCTCTAGAAAGATTGGGTTTTGACCCCCAATACTTGGATGTCATCAACGATTGCTATCGAAAGCCAACATTTTATGTCAAAGATGAATTCGGCTCTTCAGAAACGAAGACTCAGTCTGCCGGAATTCGG